TGGCTCTTAAACTCTTTCTGCCTGCTATTCTGCAGTGGTCCCTGAGCCTTGGGTGGTTGAAGTTTAATTTAGGAGACCTGTCCACGAACCTACATTCTGCTGACTCTTATTCTCTATACTTCAGCCATCTATGCCTTTTTGTGTTCATGGACATCTGTTGCATGAGGGAGCTTCATTGATGAGAGTTGAGAGATGCCTTAGTATTCTCTCTACACCTTGTTCTACTATGTTCCATGAGCCTTAGGTGTAGAGGTTCCATTGTAGATGTCACTTAGGACTGGGCATTTCACAGACAATCTCTGTGTGTGACCAGTTGTGGAACTCTGTAATAGTCACCATTTGTTACAAGAGAAGCTTCTTTGATGAGAGGTGACTGGCTTGCTTGTCTGTAAATAGAAGGATCCATATTTAGCACATAGTAAAAAGTTACATTTGTATAGGGATGTGACAGTCTTGGGTTTTTCTCTAAGATGATCACCTCTCCAGTCATGTGTATGTTTACAGTACCACATATGAATTCCCTTTCATTGAGTGGACTTTAAATCCAGTTGGTAGCTGTTGATTACCCCCTTGATAAAAGTACCACTATTGCTGTGGCAGTCATTATGATTATCAGGCCTTAAAACTGGGGTTGGACCATCCTTTGATGTTCTCCCTTAGCAGCTTGCACAGTGCTCTCCAAAACTATGAGAGCTGCCTGCAGGGAGGAGGTTTCCAGGTCAGTTCCAGCCCCATTGCTCCAAATCCTGTGTCTAAAGGTATTTCCTGTCCTCAGCAGTAGGGTCTTATCTTCAAGTTTTGAGAAGTATTCAAGGACTGTGGCAATATGTGTAATTTTGGGAGTCTCTTGGCCAACAGCTTGAAGGAAGGTTTCTCCTGTCTGGCACTGTTTCTCGTTATATAGCCTTTGACTGTATACATGGACTGATGTAGAGATATAATATGTCTGTAATTTTTCAGTAGGTTTTTGAACAAATGTTTCCCTCTTGTTTTTCATATCATCTAAGCATTATTTGTCTCTCTTCTCCTTTTATTCATAAGTTCAGTAAATTCTTTTTTAGAATATATTCTGAATCTCTAGACTCTGACTCATTAAAACTTGTTACCTATTAACAAGAGTATTGCAGCAGTCTTAACTGCTCTCCCTTATTCCTCTCTTGCTTCCCTCTAGTATGTTTCTTTCTTAACAGAATGATCTTTTGAAAAAAATTATTTGTCTCTCCTCTCCTTTTATTCATAAGTTCAGTAAATTCTTTTTTAGAATATATTCTGAATCTCTAGACTCTGACTCATTAAAACTTGTTACCTATTAACAAGAGTATTGCAGCAGTCTTAACTGCTCTCCCTTATTCCTCTCTTACTTCCCTCTAGTATGTTCCTTTCTTAACAAAATGATCTTTTGAAAAAAATAATGAGCTTTTGTCACTTTCTGCTTAAAGCCAATACTTAGAGCTTTTCAATTCGTATTTGTTGCATTTCAAATAAAACCTAGCTTCTCCCTTCCTGGAGACTGACCAGCTTAGCTCCTGTGCTTTAGTCAAGCTGGCTGTCAGATGCATATGCACTGCACCTTTCCTCCATGGTGTGTGTTTGGCCTGAAGTGCATTTTACTTGGCTTTTTTTAGTGTCTTGACTCCTTATTTTTCGTGTCACTGCTTTAACCATTACTTTATTATTAATTTTTCTTTTGTTTGAGCTATGCTCTCCCTGGGTGGTCCAGACTGGTCTCAAACTTGTGATTTTTCCAGCCTTTGGCTCCTTTATGCTGGGATTATAGGCATGTGCCACCACATCTGGCTTTAACTGTTACTTTTTTTTTTTTCAGTTCTGACTAAGTAGACCTTGATTTACATAATTGCCTTTATAGCATTTTGTAATTTCTAATTATTTATTTACTTGTTTATAGTCCATCTCAACTTCTGTGAAAGCACAAAGAATGTTTATTTTTTCTACTTTCTAGCCACTGTGTAGTAAGGCATCTTGTACTTAGGTTTTTAGTAGATGCT